AAAAGCTAAAAATTAAAAATTCCAGGGCCGGACACCTTAAATGTGAAAAAGTGCCTATAGGTTGAGAAAATACCCAGCATCCGCAGCTGGCGATACACATCATTTCAGCAACCTTCTTCTATTCTGCATACCTCCCAAATTCCTATTGGTTGATTTACAAATTCGCGTGCTGAAAGTCCTGTCATTTATGGATTGTAATTAAAATCATGCTAAATATTTGATTAATTGCCGAAAAAAAATTGCTTAATGGGATAAGATAGAAATATACATAAAACAGGTAAATAATAAATAATTCTGATGGGATTCGATCCAAGCGACCTTTGAGCGTTGACGCTACGGTGTAGGCGTTCGCGCAATACAGGCTTATTGCTGCTTTTAGATTATGGATGTGCCAATAAATATATTGAGAAACACTGTGACATCAGTTGAGGCAGTTCAGGCATCCATGTTTAGCCCTCCTCTCGCAGGGTCAAAAAGGTTATCAGACACTTTACTCTTACGTACGGTCAGTGGAAAGCACATTTCATGCATCTGATTATTCATGGCAATGCCATCTTCATTTTCAAAAGCACATTTCATGCGTCCTTTCAATAAAGTGGATAAAAATGGTTAGCGTCAGCGCGAAACAAAAAAGTTTTTCACTCTGTCCAATTAGGCCATGTCCTCAGAAATGTCTAATATCTTGACCTTTCCCGCCAACTAGCAACCATTATGAACTGTAGATCCTCATTTACCATGTGTGCAATGGTTCCTGCCATCACACTATACACGAATATTAGAGCCATAGGTCAAGCCGTTTAAGATTTGTGCCCCGTCAATTCCGTATTTCCTCCTATACCCTTAAGGCTTAAAGAGGGAAGTATTCCCCTCCGTTTAACACGTCTTGACCTTTAACCCATGCCCCCCAATTTGTCATCCGTGAGTCCTTTTTCACGATCCCCCCCCGACGTCCCTAATATACGTGACCGTTACGTCGAGCGGTTAAGATATTTTGCTGCCCAACCTGATTGCACGCGACGGACGATCATGCGATTCATACAAGGTGCTCTGATACGTCAGTGAAGCTGAACAATGTGCTCTTGATAACATATATATCAAAAGCATATATAAAGAAGGAGCCTTCTTTATATGCTCTTGTATATATATATAAGTTGTGATAATGTGGGGTGGTGGATTTATGTGTGTACGTGTGTGCGTGTGTGTGTGTACAATAACATAACTATTCTAAGCGTACGTACTGTAGTGTTTACAGCTCAGTTTAAAATTGAGTATTCATGAGTAATTTTACTGCAACTACAGCGCACTGATAAAAATGAAAACAATACACACTGCTCTGTTTTTAAATAACAAAATTACTTATTAGTGATTCCTACAATATATATATATATATATATATATTTCTATAACTATAGTGTGATTACACTTTTATACATTACTCACGCAAGTACTATGATAATATACCTATATAACTGCAGGATTATTGGATTGTATTTACAGGACTTTTCCCGGTTCTGGATTCTGTAATTTCGTGATACAGCCGTTGTGGTAGTTTTTCTTTTTCTTAGTATGTAATCTAGCTATTATTTATATTGTGTATTTTTCATTTTGAAATTGTGTACAGTTATCGTACATCATGCAGTACAAAGATCAGTGATTATTTTCCAAGTTTATATGTATTTAATTTCTATTTTTTGTTTGTTTCTGTAATTATTGAATTTCAAAAATACTGTCCCGGATGTGTCACCCACAGTATTATAATCATTTAATTGGCTCTATCATTTTGCTACTACAATTTGAGTATAATTTTGCTAATTGGTTGAATTTACGGGATTTATTCCTGGTTCTGCCTTCTATAATTTTGTTATGCTGTACAATTAAGATCAGTGATTATTTTCTCAGTATATATATATACATGTATTTAAATTCTTTCTTTTTTTGCTTGTTTCTGCTGAGCTTTGCTTCTATATGAACGTTTTATTTCTCTCTCACTGTTAACATCTATATATATTTGGTACCCTGCATATGTTTATTTGTATTTCTGAAATCAGGTTCATGTAGACTCAGGTTCATTTGCATGTAGTTTAATTATAGTTTCTTTATTTTTATACATCAATCATATATAATTTTGTAATTATCTATCGTATTGTCTTTCATGGTTTAACTTTCTGAAATTAACTTTATAGGGGAGTGGCTGACTTGAAGACTGCTGTATGTATAGTCAATTCGCCCTCCCTCGATGCATTTATTTAAAAATCGTGACATTTATGTAACACATGTAAATGTTTGATAGCGTAAATAAATTTCAAAATCTAAAAAAATCTAAAATCTAATCTACTGCAAGTACCAGTCTGTACATCTTGTATCTTGTATCTTGGTACCCTCTCTTGTATTTCACAAGGCACTCGATTCTACGAGGTGCGAGGATTATCTGGAGAAAAGGAGATTAATGCCGCCTCTAGTTCTCTAGAGTCTAGATGTTAGTGTTTCTAGTCACCAGTCAGGGCCGGACTAAGCGTGTGGGGGGCCCGGGGCACGCAATTGTGTGGGGGCCCTATAGTCTGTATTTTTTCTGCACTTTCATGCTAGCAAATTCAGAGAGTATTTCATCGTGTTTCAACGAATTTAAAATGTCACTTTCGATAGCGAGAATACTGAGGTTTACCAGTCTCTGTTGGCTCATCGTGGTTCTCATGTGATTTTTAATCAACTTGAGTTTAAAAAATGACCTTTCACCGCTAAAATTCGAGACCATCAATGAAAGATAGATTCTCGATCAGAGCAATTTCGGTGTTAGGGAAAGTGTTCTTCAGCTGAACAGCAAAATTCAGTCAGAGAAACAGCAAGGGAAACGCACCAGTTCAACGTTACATGCTAAGAATTTTGTGGATCACAATTACGACAGTTTTGTAAATTTTAGGATACTCTAAATGTGGGGGGCCCCAAATGTGGGGGGCCCGGGGCACGTGCCCCTGTTGCCCCGCCCTTAATCCGCTAGTGTCACCAGTATTTTCCTATATAATCTAACTCTGTTTTCAGTAACCTAGCTGTGGTTGTCTCCTGTCCAGTTTTCGTTTCAAGGATAGAGATGATGTCCAGTATGGTGATTGGATAGGATGATGTTAGTTGATAAGATGGGACTGGACATCTTCTCTATCCCTGAGCCACTAGTACTATTCGTTGTCCCTCCTTATATCTATTATACCTATTACATTTCTATAAATGTCCCATGTCTTCTTTTATATTCTAAGTACATCTATTACACATATTGTCACTTTATTTGTACATGTATGATGATGATATGACATCAGGAGCTAATAATGACAATTTATTAGCTCCTGATGACATGAATACGCTCACGAATAATAGATGAGCAGCGATTGTCATCAACCTTGGCCTTAGCTCTAGAACTGTGCAGCCCTGCGGCAGAGCGAAGTTCTAGAGCGACCGTGGCCTTGCCACACACATAATACAAGTACATGTATACATACGCATACGATACACATAGATATTTACATGGTGATAGATATGACCGTAATTAACCCAATAGACAATACAACCACAAGTTGGATGTTAGTTTTGGTAGTTTGATATGATTATAGTTGTTATTTAGCGGTGCATTACAACATGTAGTTGCAGACCATCGAATATAGCGACTACATGTATAATTAACAACCGCACCAATCGCATGCGTGAACAATTTGCAAGCTCGATTTACCTTTCGGCATCCCACATGGCGGTACTGTCCATCTGCTGTCCAAGAAATCCAGAGCGTACGATCTTGCTGGAGGGAACGTCAGCTTCACGTGAGCGAGTATGAGTCGATTTATTGAAAACATCGTCGCCAACAGCAAACAGTGCGTTGTCTTCATCGCTCCGCATGCTCGGAATAACATGCACAGCGATTTCATAATCCAAACTCACGGTTCTGTCCTTGCTATGTGGGACCACATCCCGAATCCTTACCGAAACACTACTTCGCAAACTATGCACGCTACACTATATGATCTACATGCACAGTAGACATGTCACCGAATGTTTTGCACAGCGTGCCACGGTGATAACGTGCGGCATGGTGAGTTACAATGAAGCACGGCCCATGGAAGAGTACAGTGTCGTGGAGACGAGACCATAGAGTGAGAGAAAGCGAGCAACGCTAACTACACGAATAACGACGCGGATGCGTGCATGTCTGTCTGTACTATACTTACGCTCTCATTCAGCGTTCGCGACTCCACCCAGCTCTAATGCGTTCAAGGTGCGCTAGATTTAGAGCTGGGCGCAACCATGTTGCCGTTTCGGGGGTGTCCGCGCGGATGTAGATCATGGTGGGCAGGCTGGTCTTGATATCATGATCACATACACATGCATTTGCGTAACAACGCCGCATACACGACCGTGGTCGACAATTATATTTACATGTGATTAATTAATGAATATTATTACAAATACAAGCCTAAATGGCAGTAATTTTCCATGAACTATCGATAATCCAATGTGTAGTATAAAATTGAAAGCGGAACTGTTATGAGGAATTTCGCGGTGACGATCGAACGTACCATCCCAAGGAAAGCGGCGAATTAGTAATTACATAGCTTATATCCAAAACGTTATTATATCCAAAGCGTTATTATCCAAAACGTATTACTAGCTCGGCTGCTAGCGGCTCTAGAACTATATAACCCTTCGCTCTGTGCCAGGTATCAGAGCGAAGGGCTATAGTTCTAGAGCTATACGTCGCTGCAAATGCGGGTTCTCATAAATCGGATAATCCTACCCCGTATAGACGTACGTTTCTACGGTATGATCAGACTTTAGATAAATGGCGCCTCGGGTGTTTCACCGCAAAACGCATGTAAACTCGTTCACACCGTATAGACAACCTTAATTGCCTACATAAGTTAACACAAAATTCAGTGGCAATATTTATATGCCTCGTCAATCATCTTTTACCAATCAACGAATTTACAAGTTCATGTTTTAATTCCTATAACCTCATAAGATAATTTATGAGTATATTATATAAATTAACCTCATAACCTCTATTTAGATAATTGCCTAAATAAATAAATAAAAATAACCTCGTAAATATTAGTCTTCAAAGTCCAAGGGACTATATCGAAGACGGTAAGAAAGAATTCTCTTTGGTAAACAACTAATAGACAATTGAAACTCAACCTATTTATATAATTTATGCACACCATATAATGGTATACGGCAACAATTTCTGGTCGATTATATTTCTATATTATCAAATTGTATCCGTCTGCTTAAGATTTAATAATTTCGCGTTTAATTCGCTCGCCACCTCTTCACTAAAATATGTCCAGACAAAAATACTCCAACAAGACGCCGCATTATATTTGATATAAAACATACTACATAGCTTTAATGCAGAGGCTAATACAACTGACAGTCTGACAGAAACACCGCAGGTATAGAATCGCGCCAATGCCGCGTAGAAGAAGAACTTCCTCAGAGTATCTATATTTGCCCGTGATCATATTGCCGCGTCACTTGCGCATGCGCACTTCAGTTACATACGTAAATACAACCGGACAACAGGCCATAGAAATATATAGTGACAACTAAGCTGTGTATAATAGCATTCATATAATATGGTATCAGGAGTGAATAATAATAGATCTATTATTATTCACTCCTGACGTTATTATATACAGCTCAGTGATAGAGACACTAGAACACTGATCGACCAGTAACATTGACGCCAGCGAGCGACACTAGCACCTCTACGTACCGAATTATGGCAAAATACCGCGGGAGATTTGTCTTTACTTACATTGACCTTAGTACGGATCGAAGGCGTCGTCTCCTTCGAATCATTCTCATACTTTTAATAAAACTATATTTTTAATGTAATTATACAATATTTTCGCGTTATATACCAGGTCCCCAAAGGAAAGTTTTTTTTGGCGAAATTCCAGAGGAAGGAATCAGCGTTCTAGCCTAACTATAGTATATTATTTCTATGCAACACGCGCTACTAACTATACATGGTGGCATGTAACGGAGCAAATATACTAATAGGGTTAGCTAACAGACATGCGGTAAGAGGAGTACCTCGAACTATAATAGAGATTCATCGTAACCAGAAACTATAGCACCTGGTTAAAATTACAGTTATCGTCGTGAATTACAGCGCTGAAAGACAACTTTGTTTGACATTTATAATACAGTTTTCCACTAAGATTTCTGGCTATTGAAGGAGGCAGTATATCGTGATAAAATCTCTATCAATAAATAACATTATATATATAGAATACATTCTGTACACAAATAACTGGTTACTTTAATTTATACATAGCAAGACAACAATCGTAACAAGCCCATGGTCTTTTCTTTTTATCTCCAGGAATCAAACAGCATGGAATCATAGATGGAATCAACCAATGAGCATCGAACGGAAGCCGTGGTCACTACAATAAACATATATATATATATATATATATTATATATATATAATAACAAATGACTAGTAAGAATATTTTCACCACATAACACTGAATACCAGCATATCAATCTCGTTTAAAATTCTTGTGCACGCACATGAAAACGTGCATGTAAACGGACGCACGCGCGCATGTAAACGGTCGCACGCACGCATACACACACAACGCACAGACGCACAGACGCACAGACGCACGCACTCACGCACACATATATGCATATATACATAAGAGAGAAACGGAGACGGGACGACGAGTACTTAAAGAGGCTTTGGTCAAGATGAAGATAGCCATATTTTCGTGATGTTCATTAATTACATTAACAGCGGAGTCTAGTCAAACGTTACGTCGGGAGAAAATACAAGCAAATTTGGCTCCATTCACTCCTGGTTACATACTGGACTAAATCGAGTGGGAAAAACAAACCAGGGCGAAGGAAGAATGTGTGTGTGTGTGTGTGCGCGCGCGCGCGTGCGTGCGTGCGTGTGTACGTTCGTACGATTGATAGATAGAAAGATACGCGCATGGATAAGATAGAGAAAGAGAAAGAGTGCTAAGATAAGGACACAGAAAAAGGGTCAGCGATATGAAGAGTGGCATTTGGGGATGGTAACAGTAGAACAAGAAAAGATGACAGACAGTGAGTGAGTGATAAGACCTGAGACACATATAAAACCAATAAAATGCACGATAACATTAAACAAAGAATGAGTTTGTAATGAAGATTGTCAAAGCTTTTAAACGAGAGGCGACATTGCCATCAACATTTTCGAATGCAATATTACATTTATATACACGCATATACATGGATCGATAATACTGGATTAATAAATATAACAGAAAGATAATCGTGTGTAAATATCACTTTGTGGAATAAATAGGTTATGGAGCGATATAAAGAGAATATCTTTATACGAGGCATGTAACGAGCTGACACAAATCACATGCTAAAGGCCAACATCCTGTAATGTATAACCAGCTCAATTCTGCCTACCTATACAAGCAGCAATAATTTTATAGTGATACCACAGTACATCTGCTATACAGCAATACTTAATTTCGAAACAGCAGTAGTTAATGCTCAGTAACTGACTAAAACATTATTCCGCGTATGTGATAATAGGAACAAGAATAGTAAGTACAACAACAATGATGGCTGATCGCGGAATTATTTGGTATGCAAAATACACATTCATAAAAAAATACATTTATTCAAAGGGAGGGATGAGATTCAAACCAAATGATAGCCACAAATGCAAATAAGCCAAACATAGGAGTATCTGAAATACACAGGACGTCTAAAAAGGAAAATGTTGATGCAGTGGAAGAGAACAAGAAAAGATTGGAGAAGGAAAGAAATGCATGAAAGACTAGAATAACATACTCAGATGTGAGCCCAGAGCAGGGTGATACTCCATTAGGAGTGTTCCCAACTTTAATGTCATTAATGGTCATAATAACATATATATCAGTGATATATATATTATATGGTCATGGTCATATATTAGTTTGTGGTTTAATGTCTTTAGGTTAGGGTTAGCGGGTTTGGTTAAGGTTAGGCGTTAGGGTTAGGATTATCATCATTAATTCATTATCAAATCGATCATTAATCATTAATCATTAATGATATCAAAGTTGGGAACACTCCTAATGGAGCGTTAGCCCAAGAGCATGATCCCACAACTTTTTTTTAATCATCAGAAACTATATATACATCATTAATATACAGTATGCATAATTGTACTTGCAAAACAAATTCTGCAACACCATATAAATTTAATTAAAGACAGGGGTCGTGATATGATACAGCGAAATCACATGCAACGATTTTGATTATGATGAACATAGCAATAATTTATATGTGGCAGCTGTATGATATTGGAGACCTCTAAAAGGTGGTGGTGGGGTGTTGGTGTGACCTGCCAGCTATAATGGTTCGTGTCACTGGCTGCAGGATCAATTCTACCCATACACGCCCATAGTGCGAAAGCACGCACGCCAACAGTGCGAAAGCACGCGCGCCAACAGTGGAAAGCACGCGCGCACGCACGCACTCTCAAACAATACATGCATTATACAATGTATATCTACAATGACAGTATTATACAATGTATCCGAAGTAAATTAATACATAAGTAGGAGTAATATAGGCGTGTTCACACACAAGAAAAACCGCGATGCTAAGGCCGGACACACAGGCAATGCATCGGCGTGAAAATCGCCTGTGTGTGTCCACTCAATCGCCGGGATGTGCATCGCACAGATCAAACGTTTTGATATTATTCGCCGATGCCATCGCCTGGGTGTGTCGTGACGGCGATAACATCGCCCGATTTTACAATTGCATCAGCAATCGAGTTGTTCAGATGATACTTGATGCCATCGGCGATGCCATCGCCGATGAAATCGACCTGGTGTGTCCACGACTGCCGCGATGCCAATCGGCGGCATGCGCGCGTGCCTGGTGTGTCCGCGCCCTTAATCGCGATGAAATACCGAGCTATTGTGTCGTTTTCACACATGTCGGAATATCTGCGCTATCGCCAGCGGGATAATTTATTACTCGAACTGCGCATGTCACTGCGGTGTTGATACGATCGCTTGGAAATGATGGATAGCAAATACGGGGATTATTTGCGAGAGCATTCACAGCACACGCGCGGACTGCAATTAATCGCGCTAATTCAAATATCGCAGTCAAAGTGCGATTTGCGCGCGCGATGCTGATCGCCGTACTTAGTGAGATTTTTGCGTTCACACTTGTAAAATATCGTACTTCGTCATCGCGATTGCAAAACGGGATTGCATCCGCTATTCGCGCCAGTGAACGCGCTAATGTATGATTTTACTAAATATATATAGGGGTGTTGGGAATAATATATATATATATATATATATATATATATATATATATATATATATATATATATAGTATCAGAGTGTATATAACTGGCATGATCCTGCAACTAGTGGTTCACATCATACATTAGCTACTGCAGGGCTGTGGCCCTACTCATCAGCTACTGATTCTATAGTTTAATTGCTGTTGAGCTATGGACCAGTGATGCCACCTGGAAGCTTTCGGTTTTGTATTAGATCCTAGTCTCAGAATGAAATTGTTGACATTTCTTGCAATAACCATCAGCTGGATGAATTCTAGGGATCATAGGAGTTGGGACAGTATGCAAGATGTTTGAAATGGCAACAGCAGTACAACCAGCACATTACGTCTGTATAGGCAACTTTGCCATATACATGGATAAATTAACGCATGGAGGCAAACCCTCACACACACATTGCACAGACCGTGCTACAGACAGCCCTTAAGGGGGGCTTATGTCGGGCTTGCGAGCCGACTCGACGGGAAGCAACTGGATTTCGAGCAACTGAAAGCGATCGGCAGCGACTAGTTGCGTCCAGTTGCCCACTGTTCTATTCCAAGCAACTAGTAGCGGCCAGTCGCAGGCAGTCGCGTCGCAGTCGACCGACCTAAGCACTGCAGTCGCAGTGAATTGCAGCCAGTTGCTTCCAGTCGAGTCGGCTTGCAAGCCCGACATAAGCCCCCCTTTAGCCACGTGTTAATGGCAGAAAGTGGCTCCAGTAACTTGTGTTATGTATGAAGAGAAATATCGTCTGTGTTATATTGTTCCGCAATCATTGCCGGAAGTGATGGACTGGCAGCTCAGACTACCGATGGGTATTCTGCATTCATCACGATCTCACGACTCTTCAGCCTTGTTGGGAGAAAATGTACCATCATCCCCAGAGGTGGCGCCACTGTCTTGAACCTCCTCATTTTTCTGTGATCAAATGAATTACAACCGTTCGAAAATGCAGTTGGCTGATACAATATCATACATTATAAAGCTCGCCGATGCTAGGAAATCCGTGTAAAATGGTTTCTGTGCAAATAGTCTACAAAGTGATGCATTGTTCCCTCATAAACATCGTGTAAGGGAACACTACCCCAGTTTTTTTGCTGGCTATATTGAAATATACTTCGCTGCTCTCCATTTCACATAAAAGCTACACATTCTGCTCTCCCCAACATGACAAAGTAGTATTTTCCTGATACAGCTCTCGGGCTATGCTGCACCTGCCCACAGCAGTGGCGTAGCTAGAATTTTTTCAGCGGGGGGGTGGGGCACTGGGGGGCCTTACATTTTCGTGGGGGCACAATATATAACTTTTATTTGTATTATACTGTTCTAACGGCATTGTTTTTAATTCAATTTTTTTTATCAAGCATTAATTTTTAGTGGGGGGCACCTGGGGGGGCACAGCAAATTTGGGGGGGCACGTGCCCACCAACCCGCCCCCGTAGCTACGCCCCTGGCCCACAGCCTTGGTCAGCTTACCTGATTATCTACAGATGATGAGACAGATGATCGTTCAGTTTCCTCTACTATAGTCTCCATCTCTGTCTCCTTTAAATCCTGCAAATAAGCCCATTGGAAAATGCAAAAGATAATCATTACACATGCAAACATCAAAATTTCACGGATATAATTCCCTCCTAAGTATCAATTAATCTATGCATTTCTTTGAACATTTATTATAGTGTATAGAGAAGGAAAATGTGGTAAATGAAAAGTGAAATGTGTAAAATCGAATGATTTTAGATGATTGTATAGGAGCTTACGGATTCAGGCTGGTCCTGGTGGGAAGACATGTCCTTACTTCTCTCCTCTTCCTTTATCCGTGATACCCAATGTTCATGGTTTTCTTTTAGATGCTTACTCAGAGGGCTCCACATTTTCCTGCCCTGTTTCTTAACTTTACATCGTTCTTTTACTTCTGCACACAGACAATACGATAAACTAAATGCCTGCATTAATAATAATTACATTCTTTAATAATGACACAACACGCATTCACATTTACTCATGTATAGCAAGCATTCACGTGTACTCCGGTACAAAGAGTATACGTCACCTACATCACTGAGTCAGTCTTGTGTGAATAGAGGCTAATATGCAATATTTACGCTAAAACTTGCACGTGATAACAGCTAGTGATCCATTGGGTCTGCTTTCTAGAAATAAGTATTCATGCCCAACTACAAAATAAGTTAATAATGGCTTTCCTATACTTGCAGGGATTGTTTAGATCCTACATTGTAAGCAGATTGAATGGTTATCTAGGTTTCATTGCAACATGCACACTACACATGAAATTTTTATGTGCTCAAAATCAGTCATACAGAATATACAGCCATAGTAGGGCAGATAAGGTCTATGCCCCCTGACCTCTGTTTGACCTGGCTCGTTTAGCTATTTCTGACTAATATATATATATATATATAATATATAATATATATAGGGTTAGGGTTAGGGTTAGGGTTAGGGTTAGGGTTAGTGTTAGTCAGAAATAGCTACACAAGCCAGGTCAAACAGAGGTCAGAGGGACATAGACCCTACGAGCCATAGCAGCTAGGCCTATGCGAGTGCATGCATGCGCTTAATACCTTTCCCCCCAGTTACATCAGCATCAGTAGTGTCATCTTTCGCAGAGTCTCCATTTGAAATGTCTACATCACCTGCGAAAAGAATCATGAGTTAGTTGATTAGTAAGTTTAACAATAAAACAATAAATTGAGGGATATAACTTAGGATCGCAATGTTCCGACACTATATTATATAAGTAATATATACAGCAAGTGTGAGCAATAGTACATATGCCTAGGGAGGAAAACGACTAATAAGGCTGTGTGGTTGTGATTTAAAGTTATTGCTCCAGTAATGATTTGCTGTATAGTGTGGATACGTGGCATGAATTCGACTTATCGTTACCATCAGGGGTCACTTACTCTCACTGTCCGATACGTCACTCTCCGACCATTGACCCGGCAGTAACCCAGCATTTCCATACGCAGTACAAAGAGGTGCCACCAGGTGGTTTATGAAGGATTCTTGCAGCTTAGCAACCTGGCAATTGTTACGGTCCATGAAGGGAGATATTGGAAGACCGAGCGCTGCTTCCTCACCTCCCTGTTAGGAACACAAACACACAGAATTAAACACTGCTGAATGTTAGGACATGAAGCACCACTGAGTGGGAATTATAGCGGGTAAGGCTTCTTTCCTAGGCTAGCACTCCAGTGAGTTCTCAGGTAAAAACTGAACAAAGTGTACAAGTGGCCTTAATTGTATTTCAATAGATCTCTAAAACACATCCACTAAAACGCCAAGAGTACATGAGAAAGGTCCGCCCTCTGGAAAACACAAAGAGAACATGAGAAAAGCCCCATGCACCTACTGGAATTGTCTTACTGATTTCATCATGTTATCTATTAAAGACCATGATGCTATCCTCATCTCTCTCTCTCTCTCTCTCTCTCTCTCTCTCTCTCTCTCTCTCTCTCTCTCTCTCTCTCTCTCTCTCTCTACACGTATACGTAAAATTGCAAATGCATTATTTGCAATAACGACTGAAATTTCAATGAATATCGTTAACTTATTCCAGCTTAACTTAACTTAACTTAACTTAACTTAACGTTAACTTTATCGTTAACTAAAGCACTGAACTCCACTGAAAACACTACATGCCGAATATTTCATCTTGAAATTTAACCTTTAAATGTCTGCCAGTTAAACTAAGCTATAAAATAATATTAACAGTCTCAGATTGCAAATCTTTACTTTGGTAGAAATATTTTCAAGTTTACATCTATCCTACAAGATTACAACTATCCTATTGAGGGCCAAACGGCCAATGTCCCTTTACGTAAGAAAACCAGTAGTGACGCAATGTTGAACAAGGCTCAGTGTCCACTGGCTGAAGTCTCGAACGTCGTAGGAAATTTCCCATTTTGCCCACTGAACTTATATTTACCTCTATGTTCAACCGTATGATTACTGTCTTTCACCATGATCATATATTAAAAAAATATGAGCATCTCTCAGGCGAGACACTTTATAAATATTCATCATGTCATGTCAAATGAAAACTGAATTGGAACTACCTCAAGCAGGGACAAGCTAATGCACAACGCTCGAATTTTTGCGGGCCTGGACAGGAATTATTGCTAAAGCTAGACTGCCATACGACCCGTCGGCATGACAAAATCTATACATAGTTGAATTAAAATGATGGTGAGATACAGAAAAAAACTGAATGCCAGACACCTGTGAGTCACAGATATAAATAAACTGCTAACAGGCGGATTGAAGTCATAGGTTAGCTGCAGATATAGCTGACTGTAGACTGAGGTACGCCACAGACACAGGTGAACTACGCACACAGGTGAGTCCCAGACACAGGTGAGTCCCAGACACAGGTGAGGTGCAGGTGTGCTACACACACAGGTGTGCCACACATACAGGTGTGCCACACATACAGGTGTGCCACAGACACAGGTGTGCCACAC